TAATTAGCATATTTTGATTGTTTACAAATAAGAACGAATCTGAATTATCTGAGCATTCACTTTTATCAGCACCGGTCTTGCATGCAGACACCTGTTTGTTTAATGTATGGATGAAGATCCTTGTTTAGCTCTAACTGGTCATTTAGCATATTTATAGAATTCATGTATGAAAAAAGGAGTTATGAGGTTGCTTGGGATGGGAAAATTTAATTATTTTATTGCCTGCTAATTATGTAAAAATGAATTATTTAGTCTGGTACTTCAGTGTTTATAGGACAGTTTCTAATTTTTATTTTAAAAAAAAAAAGTAGTGTTTTTTCTGAAATGTTTAATGTGTTATTGATAGTTGTTTAATGTTTGACAATGAACTGGCTTACTAACTGTTTTGTGTTTGCTGCGTCATTTTAATTGTCAAATTGGTATGTTGTTGTTGTTGTTCTTCTTCTTCTTCTTGTTGGTGGTGGTATTTCAACCTTGGTATACAGCTGCTAATTTGTGGAAAATATTATTTTCCAGCGATAGGGAAATTCCTTCTTCAAATATGGACCTGCATTTTGCTCACTGCTCCCGGAATCTAGAAAAATGTAAAGTCTGCGGTGATATGGTTCCCAAAAAATTTGCTGAGGAACACTTTCTTGGCACTCATGCCCCGGTATGTGAGAACATGTTACCCTGTGAAATTCTGTGCTATAATTTCCACTTCAGCAGAGAAATTTGCTACATCGGTCTTATTCCAGCATAGCTACAATCCTTTTTAGGACCAATTTGTTTTTACTTCTGTGTCAGTAGCTTTATTAATGTCTCATCTCTAAAGTTTTGTCTTAAAATGTTCATTAGTTTTTATCATGTGTATGTACGAGTTTGTGGGATGTGTTGCATGATGCTCAATTTGCAATATTTGTAAGCAAATTTATACTTGTGGATTATTGAGTGTTACCCGTGTGAATTATCTTGGCCTTGTTTATCATTAATCTTGTATGATGTCACAATTGGGATTTATACAAAACGTAACTTTACTCCATGAAATATTGTCCTGTACTTTGCTAAAATTGCATGTATCCTATTCTTCTACTTGGTATATCAAGGTCCTATTTCTATAAAAACCAAAGGGGGTCACCAGGTCAGAACCTTTTGTTTATCCCTTTTTGGTTTCTTCTTTACTCGACAGTTGGAACCTGTGTAAGTTGGATGATACTTGTGCTCTATGATTTTGGTCTTGTAGATGTGGGTAGTGCAACGTACATGAAAATTGCCTCCTTTTCATGTATTTAAAACATAATTTTATCCAAAATAATATAATGTCTTCTGCTTCTTTTTTTTTCTCAGTCATATCCTCCATTGTGTTACGTGATAAAGATTGCCTTTGTTGCAATTTGCATTCTTATCCGTATAACTTCTGCATTATGTTTAACACATCCGAATCTAGTTATCTTGAACTGGTGAATCTACACTCTACGCTTTGGGTTTTATAACAAAAGTTTTCACACTAATGGTGTATATGGATACTAATTGAACTCTGTAGAAAAGAAGCATTATTCTAGTGGTTCTTACCAAATATTATCTATTTGATACAAAAGAGGATTGATTGACGTAATTTCCTTGGAGGCAAACACTCAGGAAGATGCTTTAGCCTCGAAAATGCTTTCTTCATCCATTCAAAGGACGCTATTCTTCCTTCCACCAACACCATAAAAAGCATGCCAAAGAAAGTTACCCTCCTGATTGATTATATAGACAAGTGTATGTTGGAAACTTAACAATGGAAACAACAAAAAACTAAGCCTCGTTTTCAGTAGTAGTTCATTAATATACAAGAGGATTGATTTACTCAGTCTGTTTCTGCAAACCAATGAGCTCTGGTACATGTTTTACCTATGACAACGCTCCTTTGAACATGCTATATCCTCTTTCCACGAACACCATCGAAAAGCAATGCACAGAAAGTTCCCCTCCTGATCATATAGACAATTGTATGTTGGAAAGTTAAAAACTGTTGCAAAACTAGATGTTCTCAATAAATTTGGGGTTGGTTACATGATTCCTTTTTTTTTTTTAACTCGATTTATGTCTGCAAGTTGGAAACATAATGGTTGGAGGCGGTTAACCAGAAATACTCTCAATTGGGTATCTGATATCCCTTAAAGTGAGGAGTGCATGAGTTAAATCTGTATTTATTTTTTGATTTTTTTATAATTTCAATACTACCTGTGGCTGTGTGTGACTGTGTGGGGGTTGAAAGTACATGCATAATGGTCTAATGCCAAGGCCTGCTGGAGAGAATTTAAATTTGGGGGTGCTTACCCCCATTACGTGAATCTACTAATAATAGAAATGATACATCACTTTGCTAAACAGAAATTGAAGTCGATCATGGTTTTCCAGTGAACGTCAGGTATGTAGAGCTTATCTAATCATAGCAACCCGCCCAGGAAACCTTAATCTTCTAGTCATTTTATAATCTTGAGTTGTGGCATTTTAAATATGACCTTGGAGAATATGCAACCGCATGTCCTTTTCTATAAATATGAGATACTCTACACGAGAATGAAGATAAAATATGCTTAATTTCCAGGATGATGTGCTGGATATTCCATAGCCCCTGCTTATTCAAAAAAATGAAAGATATAGCTACAGCCGAATCCGCTTCAATCCAGATATTCTTAAACCCACATAGTAAGAACAACTTGAATCCAGAAAACGGTGTCATAAATTTAGCAATTAACCTTCCCTGTTTGGAAAATCCATCGTGATATGTTTATCTTATCATTGGATAACAACTTGTCATCAGATTTACATTATTCCTCATTTCAGGCTATCATTATTTGGTGTGTGTGTGTGTAGTGACTTGTATACCTTGGTCAGGTAGCTTGTTCCCTGTGCACTCAGACAATGGAACGTGATGTTTTAGATGTTCATAAAGGAGAAAAATGCCCACAAAGGATCGTGACATGTGAATACTGCGAGTTTCCATTGCCTGCAATTGATTTATTTAAGCATCAGGTAGTGATTTTTTTGGTGAAGAAATTTGGTATTGTTTTTGTGATGTAATATGCACATCATTGATCAATCTAGGAAGTATGTGGGAACCGAACCGAGCTATGTCCTTTGTGTCGCAAATACATAAGGCTACGTGAAATGAATGGTCACGAAAGTAGATGCAATGGTGTTGTCTATAATGTTGCAGAATCCTCAAGGTAAGAAAAATTATGAAGTCCTCAGTTTATATGAGCATTCTGTATGCCTAGGATGTTAATGATGACTCTCTATCTGTTGCATTGGTATATTTATAGCCTTTAATTGCAATAAACATGGGGTCAGCTACATGAATGTAATGATTGATATACTCCAGGATAGACGAAATGATGCTGTTAAAACTTGTGCAAGATAAAGGATTACTGAAACTTAGATGAAATTGTGAACCTTAGTTATCTAAGAGTCAAGGGAATAATAATTGATGTGTATTGTAAGATTAGCTAACATGAATTGAACTAAAGTTATTTTATCAGCTAGAAAGAGTATGGTTACAGACAGAGGGTGTTAATGGCAATATCTTTGCTTGAAGAGTACCCCCTGCAATCAATAATCTTAAGTAGCTTTTCTTAACTAGTTTTTCTACTTTAGTTTTAGTTGGTGGCAACAAATCATACCTCAAAGAAGCTTTACCAAAAAAAAATTAAACCAGCTTATGACTTTGTTGATCCAAACTAAGGTTAAAATAAAACTTGTCATAGGGTCATAGCCATGTTCACCCTTCTAACCCATGCTTACATAACCAGCTGTTATATTCTTGGTTTTGCTTTGCTTAGTTTCTATCAATTTCAAATTCTATTTAGTTTTGCTGTCCTTGGATCTAAACTATTTTGCACGGGTGCTTCTGAAGGAACACGAGGCAACCTGAAAGAGACCGTGGTGGTGCTCAAAGAAGGCCACCACATGAGTTTTCACCGAGGCTGCTCCTATATACCATTGCCATTACTGGCATCGCTGTTCTGTTAGGTTCGCTTTTTTTTCAGAGGAAACCAGGGGAAAACGACTTGCAATAGTTCTGAAGAATGCTTGTGTATTGCTGATGCCCGCCTTCTTTATTCTGTGTATTCCATTTTCTCGCCTAATTCTACCAGTGTTTTTATGCTTTTGAGAACGTGTTATCTATGCCAATCAGTGTATGAGATGAGTAAATATGATGTCTGTAAAGGGAATTGGTAACAGCACTGTAATAGAATAAAATGTTTCCATTCTCAATAATTATACCAATGTTTTCCATTTCCTTTCAATCTTTCTCTGTCCCTTTTTTTAAATCAACATCGACAAGTGTTCGGCTATGTGATTATTGAAAAAGTGGAATGAGCGGTGTCTCTGGAGGAAGATCAAAAGTATCCACTTCCTTCGCGCCCGACACTAGTGGGAGCAAGCTAGACTCTATGTTCCAAAATCAAGAATCTGATACGATTGATGGATACGACTGATACGATTGATTGGTCTGTGTGCCTCTCGATCATGAAAGATGCTATGAATCCAATGCTGACGCAACTCGGGTAGAGGTTACCACTCGGTTGTCCGGTACCGTCCATTCCAGTCTATAAAATGCGATCAATCTTTCTTTTTGGTGACCCACGCATTATTGTGGCAAATGTTAACTAGAGATTTGTTCGGTGATCCCAAGGTCCAAATAAATGGGGTCCACAATGACACCTATTACTATTAGTTTGAACTGTAATAATTGATAAATAGAATATGCGCTTATTGCTCTATCCTAAAAAACAGAGAAAAAGAAGTCGAATTTTCAAGGAGTAGTGATGTAGAGAAGTGTCATTATACAACAAAGAATTGCTCTGGTAGCTGATGCAATATTTACTGATAGAGAACAGAACGGTGATAGGTGGCGGTGTGGTGGTGCGAATTGCGGTGGGAGAGGGTGGCTGGAACCGACGGTGGAAGAAAATATGATGGCGATGGCGGGCATTCCCTTCTGAGAAGAAGTCCGTAGAGCGAAAGTCAATATGAGTGGACGGCGTACATTCAAGGACTTGATTAAGAGCATTTGCACCTGTGGAGGTAAATAGATAATATTTATATAAGCTTTGTTTGGTTAGGATTATAATAATTTTTAATAGATTTTAATAAAAGTTAATGAAATGTGTGGTTGAAAAGTTGTGAATTCTATAAAATGTGAGGTTGAAATTAATCGTTGACTTTGACTTAAAATGAATTTTAATTTCTACCAAACAAGAACTAAATGTGTGTCAGCACTTTTATCCCTATAGTTATTATTTGACACTCTATTTATCTCGTAAATATTTTATTACTCACTTGATCATTATTTTTAATCACACGGTCTTTTAGGTTTTATATTTTTTTATCTATTCATTGAGTGCATGTTCTTTGAGACCCACTCTTTATATGATGATCAAGTTCATAAGATTTTCTATAAAAATGCTCTATGTTTTGACTATTTATTTTGTTTTTTTTGACAAACATTTATTGATAAATCATCATTTCGTATCATAATTTATCTGTGTCAATTACCTATCAATTCAAATATAATTTGAATAATTTAAGAAGTGGAGTATTGAACTATTATTGCATATTAAATGCAGTCATTATAAAGTAAAAATGTGGAATTGTTTTAAGTCTGTCTCTATTTTAAAAAGTTACAATACAGTCTTTTGAAGTTTTTACCATTAACCCTATTAAATAGAGAAAATTTGCGTGTAGGTGTAGTCTTTTGAAAATACTCTAAGATCTTAAAAGCTTAGCCGTCAAGGAGTAATGCAATTCATATAATGTCTAGATGATCATATGACATCGGGATCCTATTGTAACATTGATCAACATATAAAGAATAATGATATATAACACTAGTGATATTTAATACCAATATATGTGTGTATGATAGATTTATTAAATGTCATAAATCCTAACAATTAATTAAATCAATGATTTAATGGCATTAGTATTGTCACATACACTCATGTTAATCATCACAGGTACTAACCTATTTGACAATTATTAATTGGAAAAAAACAAAGTTTTGAATAGTGTTTTTTAGGCGAATATATGGTTCAAAAATAGGGAAAATTTTGGATTTACGTGCAAAATATTTTATTGTGTGAATGTGTAGTTGAAAATGAATATATATAGAAACAAGAATTTTCAAATAACTGTTGTCGGGCTATTAATTAGCATTACTCAAGCCTAAAAATGCATTCAATGTTTATTTGACAAATGGAAGCAACTTCACTACCACATTGATCAATAATCAACTCTACATTAATAGTTTTATTAACTACCAGAAAAATAAATATGATTTCAAAGGAAAAAAAGTGACTAATTGACATAAATGGAAATTAATGCATTATAGGCTTTTTTGTTTAAATTTCAAATCCCTCAAATTCTGAAGGATGGTTATAACAGTTTTCTTTTGTTATCCTATTTTTTTGTAAGACATACTATGTTCAACTGAATGGATGTCAATATAGTAAATATAATTAAATTAAGGAAGAAAATACATTTTAATAATTTTTATTTTATTTTATTTTTTCATATTTTCGAGTGCTTTTCAACATATTCCCAATTTGGGAAGAATGCGTGTTCAAATCGAAGATAATTCAATTCACAAGAAAAAGGTGTACCATTAACATATAAGTCAAAATCTTTTTTTTTTTTAATTAAATTTGTCTTGATTTGCTTCTTTACCCGTTTTGTGGCCTGGAATTTAAATTATAAGAACAGATCTTTTTTCTGGCATTGGTAATTATGTGAACGCTTGTTTGTGAACACAAATTTTGAAATTTGACCGTTCTTTTCAGATTTAGACAAATCTAATTGATCTTTTGAGTTTAGTTGGGTCTCATACCATATTGAAAACTGTTCGCCTTAAAAGTTAACATCATTAGGAGGCTAGTCCGAGACCTCATATCTTATGCAATTATCATCTTCATTCGGTGTCAAATGGAATTATACCTTAAAGCCAGTTATTGACTTGTATCGAGTGAGAACTTCATCACTTGTCTGATATTGTATGCAAAGTCGAAAGGTGTGACATAAATAAACACTTATCTTCATAATCTATTTAGAATTCAGAAATTCAAACCATTATTTCAAATTTTTTCACTTTTATACAGCTATATAAACACCCCTCCCTTAAATGACTTCATAGAAAAGGTACATAACCAATTCGGCGAACACATTTGGTTAGGAGATTACTGAAGCTAAAGTAATACCAATTATAAAGGATGCTTTCTCTTTAGTTATAAGAAAAGCTAAGTCTTAGATACCTTCTAATGATACATATTTATACAGCATTTCCATTTACCATGCCTATAACAGATTTCATATAGTTTAAAAATATGTGCATTTGGCCTTTTTCGTGATCTGGATTGTAATTTGTTCATGCAGGAGACGGTTTTGGAACAATGTCGCCTATAGGGGTGCGATTGTATGTTCAAGATCGACATGTGAGTTCATTTTCCTGCCCAAATATCCCTTTGTTGATGTTTGCACGAGACAATGAAAACTTGCTGATATTTGAACTGCTCACTTTCAGCTCTGTAATTCCATTTATTGGATATAAGCAGTTGTTTATATACTTTGGCAAGTCAAGTTGACAAGCTCTGGTTTCTCCTATTTGATTTTTCTTATGTCATCGTATAAAATATTGTCGCTAAGGTCTTCTCATTTGCTTCAGTTTTAAATAGATAGCTTTACATATATCTACTACTCAGAAACTTCCATTAATCTGCGAGTGAAATCGTGTTGTGAGCACGTAGAACTATGACGTATAAATCATTTGACAAGGAACTGTTTCTTGCATCGTTGATTGACACGGCATTGATTTGCAGGTTGTGATAGACAATGGCATACTCCAAGTTACACTGTCAAAGCCTGAGGGAATTGTTACGGGAATTCGTTATAACGCTGTTGACAACTTGCTAGAGGTCCTCAATAATGAATCTAACAGAGGGTAATTGCTTCCGAATCCTGGTTTTACAGATGACTATTCATCAATATTACAAAATTTAATGATCAAATGGAGTGGAAGTAAAGATTTTCGAAGGGCATTTACTGACAGCTCAATCGATTTTATTTCATCAAAACATAACATATTTTAACATTAACCATTTTTCCAAGTGAATTATACAATATTAGAAATACTGACTTGAATTCATATGTTATTCAAACCTATGAGATTTCGTTTTATTAATGTATTCTCGAATGGATTTGGAGGTACTGGGATGTCGTCTGGAATTCACTAGATGGAAGTAGCCGAACCGGATTATTTGAAGTGTATGTTCCTAATTCCTATTTTATGCGGCTTCTTGTGTGCCTGAAAAGTTTACGTTCTTGTTATAAATGTAAGAATTGCTCAAACATTTGACAATATTGTAGGATTAAGGCGACAAATTTTAACATTATAAAGGAAAGCGAGGAACAGGTAGAGGTGTCCTTTTCAAGACCTTGGGATCCCTCGCTCCAGGGCAAGCTCGTTCCGCTGAATATAGATAAAAGGTCCTCTCTTTAGTTATTCCTTGCACAAAAATACACGACGTTAATACAATTATAATCGAAAGGATGTGTTTGTAGGTTTATTCTGCTCCGTGGGTGTTCAGGCTTCTACACATATGCTATATACGAGCACGTTGGTTCCCCAGAATGGCCCGCTTTCAGCCTCGGAGAAACAAGGATAGCTTTCAAACTTCGAAAGGATAAGTAAGATTTTATGATAGTGGCCTAATCTTATGAAATCAAGCAAAAACAATTTTCATTTAAACTTCGTGCAATGCTCTTGATATTAATCATTTCTAGGTAAAAGATAACAATGTGATGCTTGAAAATGTCTAGGTTCCATTATATGGCAGTAGCAGACAATCGGCGGAGATTCATGCCTCTACCAGATGACCGTTTACCTGGAAGAGGCCAACAGCTGGCATACCCAGAGGCGGTCAGCCTTGTCAATCCCGTAGAGCCTGAGCTTAAAGGAGAGGTAACTTCGCAATTTTTTTCTGAAAAGTTCCACAAAAATAAACTAATGATACTATTTGCTATAGATCATCAATGAATTATGATCAGATGAGAAGTTATTAGACCTGTTAAAGATTTTGTAGGTCTATTAAGATTTTTCCAACAATGATCCTTGGTTCCATGATAACCAAATGTCTGTACTTGTTAATTACCTAGATTGTCCATGCCTGGCAGGTTGATGATAAGTACCAGTATTCCTGTGATAACAAAGATCTTAAGGTCCATGGTTGGATTTCTATGGATCCAGCTGTGGGATTCTGGCAAATCATACCCAGCGATGAGTTCCGCTCTGGTGGGCCCCTCAAACAGAACCTAACATCCCACGTCGGACCCACAACCCTGGCAGTAAGATGCTTATCTGTTGATTAAAAAGATTTTAGTCATCTAGCAATTATATATATTCGTTATAAAATTCAATAGGATTCAGGGATTCACACTCGTGATTATTATGTATCAGGTGTTTCTTAGTGCTCACTATGCTGGAGATGATCTGGTCCCAAAATTTGGCCAGGGTGAGCAATGGAAGAAAGTTTTTGGCCCAGTTTTCATCTATGTTAACTCCGTGATGGATGGAGAGGATCCACTAACTCTATGGGATGATGCCAAGCAACAGGTCGAGCAATTAAGTTTTGATTGATATTACTATTGATATGTTAAAACAAACATGTATATCAATTAAATCGGTGAAGTGCAACAAAAATTCACAACGTACTTATTTTTAGATGTTGGTTGAAGTTCAAAGCTGGCCATACAGTTTTCCAGCATCAGAGGACTTCCAATCATCAGACCAACGGGGTAATGTTAATGGAAGACTATTGGTTCGAGACAAGTGAGACCTCGATATGTATTTGGTTTGTTTCGGGCTTCTTTTTCTTGTACGAACGATTTTATGATACTTCTGTTTACCTGCCTAGGTATGTTAGTGATGATTATATTCCAGGAAACAGTGCATATGTTGGATTGGCCCCTCCGGGGGAGGTTGGATCATGGCAAAGAGAATGCAAGGTTATAATAATTAAGTTCTCTAACTGATCTCCAAGATTCTGACATTCTTCTTAAGAAATTCTATAAAACTCGGTCTCAATGTTGAGAAATATCTTCTTGAACCATGAATTTCACATCTGAAATGTATACAGTTGATGACTTTAAGTTACTTCATTCAGGACTACCAATTTTGGTCAAGAGCAGATGAAGGCGGCTATTTCTCGATAAACAATATACATACGGGCAACTACAATCTTTATGCATGGGTCCCTGGCTTCATTGGCGATTATCGAAATGAAGTTGCCTTCACAATAACTCCAGGTCTTGTTTAATGCACTTATCATTTTCTTTTCCTTCTTAAATTTTTTCGATTATACTGAATTTTCCATGCTGACATGATACAGGTAGTAATGTAGAGGTAGGTGATATTGTATATGAGCCTCCGAGAGATGGCCCGACATTGTGGGAAATAGGCATTCCTGATCGTTCTGCTGCTGAGTTTTACGTACCTGAACCTGATCCGAAATATGTTAACAAACTTTTTGTCAATCATCCAGAAAGGTTAGTTAACATTTGCCTTTATTTTACGAGTGTTACATGTCCATTCACAGTACAAAAATAACGATATCCGTATTATGAATTCATTGTCTCAATAGGTTTCGACAATATGGACTATGGGATAGGTATTCAGAGTTGTATCCTGGCGAAGACTTGGTCTACACCGTTGGCGTGAGTGATTATCGAAAAGATTGGTTTTTCGCACAGGTTATCAGGTGCCTTTCTAACTATTTTTGTCGGCTTAGTCGCCCATTCCTTGGGTCTTATTAGGAAGTAATCCGAATGTTTCACAAATGTAGGAAAAAAGATAACAAGTACGAAGGAACCACATGGCAGATCAAGTTCAAACTCGACATTGTCAATCAAGCCGGAGTTTATAAACTGCGTGTGGCACTTGCATCTGCAACCTTAGCTGAACTGCAGGTAAAACCCCGTCGCCAGATTCATATATTCGTGCCTGAGAAATCATATAACTACTCTGCTCGAATTTCTTCTAGGTTCGAGTTAATAATCCAAATACAAATCGGCCATTATTCTCAAGCGGCTTGATTGGGAGGGACAACTCGATTGCAAGACACGGAATTCATGGATTATATTGGCTTTACAGTGTAGACATACAGGGAGCTATACTTGTGCAAGGGGACAATACCGTGTACTTGAAACAACCAAGGAATGCAAGTCCTTTCCTAGGATTCATGTATGATTACATTCGACTCGAAGCTCCCCCGAACTAGACATTCTGATATTCTCTCTATAGAGGGATCAAATAGAGAGAAATAAAGAACATGTTAGTTTAGAAATAAAGAAACAACACAAATAAGTGAACTGTGAACATGTTCAATCTTGCAATGTACATTGTTATGTACAAACACGGTCGAGTTGTTGAGTAATATTTCTTATTGTTATCCTTTGGAAATCTTTATCAGAGATGATGAATTAATTCTATTTCTAATTCTAGGGTCAATTTGTATCAATTTATTTTATTAACTATGATATACACAGAGAGAGAGAGAGAGAGAACATTTTACCATGCTAGTCATGTCAAACTACAATATTTGACCTATGCATATGTGTCATCACACATCTTGAAGGAATTCGATTGGCTGGCGCGTTTGGTGTGATGGTATCATCATGATACCTAGGCTTTAAGCCAGCATCTTAGGTCATCATGATTTCCTCTTGATTGGTTAACTTGGGAAGTGATGCCATTAAAGGGGGATTAAGCCCCCTACCCTGCAATGGCGATGTTTCCCATGGATCGACTTTGACCTACATTGATAGGGTTTTAAGTTGATGTACCGAGCTGATTTTTGTTTTTCGACAAAGAGGATCCTTTGACCAAGTCAAGGTGCACTTTTACTTGACACGGCATGAGTTTCAGATCGATCACAAGAAGCATTATTTAGATTAAATTGTTTGCTACTTAAACTAGAATGGTTTAGTTCTTCATTACAAAGCATTCACTTGGAACTCATAACAAACGATAGGAAAATCTTTATTGGCTCTTAAAAGACACGAAAGCACTCCCAAAGCTACCATTGTTGCAGCAGAAAAATAAACACAATAATTTTTAAAATTCTGATAATATTCACTATCTACTGACTACTGTTCTAGTTTGAAAGTATTTTAATATTTTTTATTCAATCCCGTTTGAAGTTTCATTTTTTCAGGAATCTTCAAAAATATTGCATAATGATTTCATTATTAACATGTCAAGATCCATTTATATCTATTATCTTCGAATTTGATCTCGAATATTAACATTACGATCCATAACCAAAATTCTCAGTCCAATATGAGTAAAAAGTTGTGCAACATCAATTTCGTATTACATAATTTGTCAACATCATCATTTTATTCGTAGAAAAATATTCTTTTAAAAAGGACGCAGCAATTCTTGAAATACTTAGAAGTAATTATTTCAAATTGAAAACAAAACAATAATTTTTTTATTATTTCTCATTTTTAATCATTTTAATTGTTTTAAATGGGATAATTTGGAAAAACCTTTTATGCTCTTCTTTAAATTGATCAAATTCTGGTCAATAACACATTTTTTTTGGATGGAAACCGTGGTGCCACGAGCCCGAAACTAAATGAAAATTTCCCTCCCTCGTCAACCTTCAAACGATTCTATGCCTAGTCAATTACACCTACAACCCTCTGTTTTGCCCTCTGAACCATCTGAGGCGACTGCAAAACCTACTGCAGTGCAAAAAGTAAGCAACAAATTCAAATAGCTTACCTCTCTTAATAACCTCCTAAACTACCTGACCCACAACGGTATACCCCAAAATAAACCCCAAACCTCAAAACCTGTAAACCCTCCTGCCCCTACCCTTCCCCCTGTTATGGAGGTCAGAGATCCGTCAACAGAATCCCAACATTTCCAATGTGGATAGAACCAAGATGCCCCTCCAAGGACTAAGGTGTATGATGCCACGAAAAGAGGAGTGGGCAATCGAGATAGAAGTCGATCACCCAAACCTGCGGATTGTCGCCTCCGTGATGTACTCAAATCCGCAAGAGTGGCAATACTTGAAAGGGGAACCCCCCAGTACAAGGGCAATTTTAGTGACGGTTGGAGACCTGGTTCGAGATGCATATTTTGAAAGAGAGTCAAAACCTCACCTAATATCCCTTTCTTTTCAATAGTTAATTCGAGAGCCCAAACTAAAAGCTTAAAAAGCAGTTGATCTTGATCAAATGGATATAGAGTAAGGAAATAAGCTCTTTCTATAGGAAGCCTATGAATCTTCTGCTAGTCATCCTTCATATAGTACGGTCTTTTAAGCATCCTTCTCTGGCTGATACCTTCTCCGATCTCTGTTTGCAAGGGCAGTGACTCAATCTGAAACTAGAATTTCTATTTAGCGACCTAGGATTGCAAAGATTGAGGTGTAGTAAAATCAATACAAGAATTCAACCCGTGATACAATTTGTATTTCTGTCCAGGTTAATTCGAACGCCAACTTTGAAAATTAAACAAAGAGAATAAGCCCATGTTTGACACCCATTTTTTTATCTCATTCTCATTTTTCTACAGTACTCATTTCTATCCATACATTCTTCAAATAAAATAATATTACACATAAACCCAAAAATTCTTCTTACTTTTTAACCTGTACATTCTTTACATCAATCACTATTCAAAATCTCATTCTTCAAAATAATGGGTGTCAAACGGGCTGTAAAAGAGAACAACTACCAAAATGTGAAAGAGGCCCACCGCACCACTCCATTTTCCTTCCATTGCTATGAGCCTCACCTTCTTGAGTTGATATATCAAGAAGACTACAACCAATAGTGGATTGCCTTTTAGCGGCTGCTAATGTAGCGGCTTGTCAAGCATTTGACAAACTCACACCATCCATTTCAAATAGGATTTGTCCTGTGAACACACTAGCAATCCAACCCGTAGGATTTTCTTTTCCTCTTCCCATTCTTACTAATGTTGGTAATAGGGATATCCGCGAGAACTCTTACCTATATCTTACCATTTCACCGGACCACCCGATCTCGGGGCATGGACAATAAAAGATCATTTTCCATAGTCGGTGTTTGGAGGTTTGAAGGCAAATGAATCGTTTTTCGCTTGTCTTTCGTGCGTGCATGTATGAATTGCATAAGTCATTATGTTTTGGCAGTTGAGAAGTACAGAAGTGAACATGTGTTAGTATTTAGTTGTGCGAAGCATTGTTGACAAAACTTATTCAACTCACTGCTTTCACTTGCTTCCGGTAACAACTACCACTCTCTTATAAATGGGAGGGTGGAATACCAAGACATATGGGTTGGCCAGCGAAGGCAGTTTATTTAGTACTAGATATACGTATTTCTACATCTTTTATGGCAGTTCAAAGACACAAGAGATAAGGAAAACTAAAAAGCCTCTTAAACAAACGAAAGTAGGAATTCGACCAATCGCTATCAATACCAGGAGGCAGATCAAGATTCATGGGAACGATAACCTTTTCCCAGAAGAGTAAAGCAAGGGATAGGATAGATGAATAGGTTAAAGCCTTTATACTCTAGGAGGGATTAATTTCCAATTTCTAAGGCTTCGTTTTCTCTGGCAAACAGCTAGGGAAGCATTTATTCCCAAGCGATAGGGTTGGAGTTCAGATAGATGCCTTAGTCCACTCCAAGATAGAAAGATACCAATAATGGAAAAAGATGAATAATTTAACTGTGGCACCCCTATACGATTTTAAGGCCATTTTAGGGATAGAGTTCTTAGAACCAACCAAAGCCATCCCTATGCTATTTGTACGCTCTTCCTTTATGCAAACAAAGGTGTACACAGGAAAGAAACTAAAGCAAGAACCAGATCAATCCACCAATCAAATCCATAGGACTTAAAGCACCGAGTCGAAAAGAAATGAGCAAGTGTGGCTTTCAAGCTTGTCTCTCCGTTGCCTTAAGCTTAGAGACTAGAGGTCGCGGCAGCTTGCTTGCTAAGGTACGAACCAGTGCGGGGAAGCTCTTTGGTTAGGTGGAGCTTGGGATGCCCCCACTGACGGCGATGGAAGCTGTACGTTGGGTAATTTAGTACCCGACCTTAGAGTTATCTTGTTGACATAAACTGGCTCCTCCAAGAAGTAGAGTGGGCAATAATCTTCGTCGAATACATCTATCGTGAGGCAAAAATAAGTCGCCATGTTCGATGAAACCACCTTCTTACACAGAAAGACGGCTTGAAGAAAACAGAAACACAGTCGAAAGAAGAGAAGGCGGACTTTGAGAAGAAAGGAAGAAAAAAAGAAAAGAAGAGAGGAAGAAAAGAAGACAGTGATCGAATCTGGGAAGAAAGGAAGAAAAGAAAAAATGAAGTAAGGAAGAAAAGAAGAAGTGACGGTCGAGCTGACCTAAAAAGCTAAACCTAATTTTTAATTCAAATTTTTGTGCCGAATTGACCAAATATTAAATGCTATATAAAATATCTTTTTCTAGTAGGTAGTTAGAATTTTTTTCACAACTTTACCCTTCAACACGGCAAAAAGTTAATTTTCATGCGGATCAAATTTTTTATAATTTTATTTACCTTTTTATCCTCAATAAAAAATAAATTTACAAAGGAAGTCAAAATTATGATGCACTAAGTATAAAAAAATATTTAATTTAGACTATTAAATTAAAAAAATAAATAATAATAATATTTTAATCAACGTATCGTGTCGAAACATTTTTAAAAAATCATGTGTCGGCGTGTCCGACACGTATCGAGTTAGACACTCACGTCGGTGTCGGTGCTTCTTAGGTTTGACCTGGAAAGAGTAATAATTCTTTCAATTTTGGTCTTGGACGACCTCGAAACTACGGAGCAAGGGATCCTTTCTCTAATTCCTCCTCCAGAAGCCCATCAAAGGTTGGTCTGTAGTGTAGGGATAAAAACCCGCTACTTCCATTCCCGCATATTGAGGCACCGGGGGGAATGGACCGACAATGAATCCTCCTTCCAACTCTTATTATTCCCCCATTCTCTGGATTGCTTCCAACATAAAAACCGGTGGATGAGAACTTAAGTCAATGCCATACCAACTCCTTATCGACCTTCAAATCTCTTATCTAGACAGGATAAGAGCAAACAAGCCCCCTATTGTCTATTCTTACTCCTAGCTCACCGTCAGTGGGTATTAACTAGACCCGTTTTCATAGCTATCTATTGGTGCTCTTGGCATAGGAAGTATGGTCGGTTAATCAAACACCTTTCTAAACATCCATTGAAATTTTG